TTTTTCAACTATAGGAGAAAATTTTTTTTGTTTCCTATGATAATAGCTATAGTTTTATGGAATTGTAGTATTGCTATGAATCCATTTTGTTTGGATTTCATTTGACGAATTTCTTGAAGTTAGAACTATGAAAAACGCAGAATAATTTTTTAATATACTTAATATCAAAAAAGTGGAAATGCAAGAGTATAAACCTATTAAATAAAGAAAATATAGATCTTTATGTTCTCTTTGTCATAAAGATAACAAGCATAGTTGAAAAAAATAGAAAGGAAAAAAGTAAATAAAATCATCAAGATTACAATTAAGGTAGTAGCCCAATCATCTTATCAAATGTTATTCTAAGATGAATAATATTTCAAATAAAACCATAATTATGATATGATACCAATAAATAAGGTTATAAATGTAGTTTATAATCTTAAATATAATCTTTTTAATGTATGCATTCCAATATATTCCTAAAAAATTTCATCTTATCAATGTTTAATTTATGTTATTCTTCATTTTTTTTGGTAGTGTCAATGGGTACTCTATTTCATTTTTATCTTTACATAAATAAATATACTTGTTGACATTAGGAATTCTTGGGTTCTTTATATTTTTTAATGATTAGCCAATAATAGATGAAACAAGCTGCAAAATACTATCTGACAATAATCAAATAATTTTGTGTTTTTATTAGTTTTTATTTGACATTGAAATTTACAGTTGCAATAGGCTTGCCAATAATTGATTAATATACAATTACAGAAATATCATAAAATTATGAAATGGCAGAAAATAGTTGGGATAGATTAATCTATTTATAAAATGAATATGATGGAGTTGATTATAGATATACTACTAATTACTTTAGTCATTTCGTTTTTGATCATGCAGTTAATATTATGTTGGTGATGATGACGCTTGATGTGACACAAGGCACCACTGTTGATATTTTGATACTTTTGGTTCATTGAAAGAAAAACTTCAAGAAAGAATCAAAGATTAAACTATGAAATGTTTTTTATGTGGTATCACAAGAGAAAAATTTGAAAAAAATAATGAAGGAGGAGGCATGGCCTTTTAGGAACATATTGAATTTGAACATTACATGTGGAATTACATTTATTATTATGCTTATTTGAAACACAAAGATGAAAATGACTTTAATGGAAATGAATTTTATATATAATCTAAGATAGATCTCAAGGATATAAGTTGGATGCCTATTAAAAGGTGATATTTAATTTATATTTTTAGAGCACGATTTGCTGAAGAAGAAATGATGATTAATAGAAGGGTAATTAAATCTAGGAAGCTATTAAATTAAAATAAAAGTCATGAATGATTCGTTAGACAAGATTTAAGATCAAATGAAACATTTTATTGACATTATAAATAATCAACCTGTTACTATGACAGAAATCTTTTATTGATAAATATTTTTAGAAAATATGACTTATTAATTCATTTATTTATAGTGATCAAACTTTTTATATTAAGATTTAAATCTTCATAATAACTCTATTTTAAGAGACTTTATTTAATTAATTTAATTAATTTTTTTAATAATTTTTATATTAAATAAATGTAAAAAAAAGGCAAAATTCAGAAATGAAAATAGTGTATTAATTTGTTAATAATTTAAGTTTTTGAACTAAGAATGATAATTTAAGAAATAATCAAGGAATATAATCCAATTTTTCAATTTCAAATATAAAAGTCAGCATCATTTAATTACAACATGGCCACTAAGCAATATTTCTAAATCTATTAATTAATTAAACCTCTATAAAGATCCAATTAAGAAATAGAATAATATTGTAACATTAAAAAGATGTTTCATCAATCGGATTATTTTTATAATATTTAATATTTATTATCAGATTGCAACGGGGTATAAAAATACCTTTATAATGAATTTTCATATCCTATTTTTTTTTAATTTAAATAAAATATGCGCAATTACTTGTATTGTTTTGCATTTATTTTAATATTGGGATGCCACTTGGTTGAAGGAAATCAAAGAATTTTAGCTGAGTCTACTCCTTCTAGTACGAAATGGCAATTTGATTAATTTTCTACTCAGGTAGAATAGAATATGTAAACAGTTGTCTTTCCAAATAAATAATTATTATTTGTGTAGAGCCTGGTGGATGAAAATGAAAAGAAATCCATCATTTTATAAAAATATGAGAGAGATGAAACAAAAATTGGAAATGAACTAAAATNTCAAAGGAAATTGCGTTAAATTTACTGAAGAAATAGATGTAAATGAGGATACTGAGCAATTACCCTATTATTATATTATTCTTATATGTTTAGGAGCCTTATGCTTTTTAGGACTTACGGCTTATGCCATCTGGAGATTTAAATTCAGAAATCCAGTTTAATCATAAAGAAGTCAACAAAGATAAGTTATTGAGGAAAGAGAAAACACAGTATTTGATTCAAGAATAAATTGAGATATGTATATTCATTAAAAAATATCAAAATTAAAATCTATTTTTTCTAGATTTTCTTCATTATCTAACTTAATTTATTTTAAAATAAGCAGATTAGTTAGGAATTCTTGGGTTCTTTATATTTTTTAATGATTAGCCAATAATAGATGAAACAAGCTGCAAAATACTATCTGACAATAATCAAATAATTTTGTGTTTTTATTAGTTTTTATTTGACATTGAAATTTACAGTTGCAATAGGCTTGCCAATAATTGATTAATATACAATTACAGAAATATCATAAAATTATGAAATGGCAGAAAATAGTTGGGATAGATTAATCTATTTATAAAATGAATATGATGGAGTTGATTATAGATATACTACTAATTACTTTAGTCATTTCGTTTTTGATCATGCAGTTAATATTATGTTGGTGATGATGACGCTTGATGTGACACAAGGCACCACTGTTGATATTTTGATACTTTTGGTTCATTGAAAGAAAAACTTCAAGAAAGAATCAAAGATTAAACTATGAAATGTTTTTTATGTGGTATCACAAGAGAAAAATTTGAAAAAAATAATGAAGGAGGAGGCATGGCCTTTTAGGAACATATTGAATTTGAACATTACATGTGGAATTACATTTATTATTATGCTTATTTGAAACACAAAGATGAAAATGACTTTAATGGAAATGAATTTTATATATAATCTAAGATAGATCTCAAGGATATAAGTTGGATGCCTATTAAAAGGTGATATTTAATTTATATTTTTAGAGCACGATTTGCTGAAGAAGAAATGATGATTAATAGAAGGGTAATTAAATCTAGGAAGCTATTAAATTAAAATAAAAGTCATGAATGATTCGTTAGACAAGATTTAAGATCAAATGAAACATTTTATTGACATTATAAATAATCAACCTGTTACTATGACAGAAATCTTTTATTGATAAATATTTTTAGAAAATATGACTTATTAATTCATTTATTTATAGTGATCAAACTTTTTATATTAAGATTTAAATCTTCATAATAACTCTATTTTAAGAGACTTTATTTAATTAATTTAATTAATTTTTTTAATAATTTTTATATTAAATAAATGTAAAAAAAAGGCAAAATTCAGAAATGAAAATAGTGTATTAATTTGTTAATAATTTAAGTTTTTGAACTAAGAATGATAATTTAAGAAATAATCAAGGAATATAATCCAATTTTTCAATTTCAAATATAAAAGTCAGCATCATTTAATTACAACATGGCCACTAAGCAATATTTCTAAATCTATTAATTAATTAAACCTCTATAAAGATCCAATTAAGAAATAGAATAATATTGTAACATTAAAAAGATGTTTCATCAATCGGATTATTTTTATAATATTTAATATTTATTATCAGATTGCAACGGGGTATAAAAATACCTTTATAATGAATTTTCATATCCTATTTTTTTTTAATTTAAATAAAATATGCGCAATTACTTGTATTGTTTTGCATTTATTTTAATATTGGGATGCCACTTGGTTGAAGGAAATCAAAGAATTTTAGCTGAGTCTACTCCTTCTAGTACGAAATGGCAATTTGATTAATTTTCTACTCAGGTAGAATAGAATATGTAAACAGTTGTCTTTCCAAATAAATAATTATTATTTGTGTAGAGCCTGGTGGATGAAAATGAAAAGAAATCCATCATTTTATAAAAATATGAGAGAGATGAAACAAAAATTGGAAATGAACTAAAATTTGGTGATTTAAATACAGAATGTACAAGGCCTAAAGTGACGTTAATAAGCAATATTGGGTTTGCTTTAAGTTGGATCGAAAAAAAGATAGAGACAACCAAATTATATATTTAAATCATAAATTTTGATTTAAATCCAATCACCTAAAAACAAGAAATAAATGATATTCATTTAGAAGTTCATTGGGATTTTGTATCAGAATTTCATTATATTTATTATATTAATGAAACTAAGTTATTAATTCTGTACAAAGGTCCTAATAAAACAAAAATATGGCATGGAACCATTTATGACTACTAAGATAATACTAGAACATCTAATGTTAATTTGATCTTTTCTAAGTAAGTGTCTATTGCTGTAAATTAATTATTAGTTATTGTTTTAATACAAAAGATAGAAGATACTTATAGTAATTAAGTTACTATTTTAAATTAAGATGGATAAATTTAAAGAACTTTTAAATTATATTAATATGATCATGTATTTTAACACTTTTAACCAAAAATTACAGCACTTTCAAATAATAATTTTGTGGTTGTTTAACCTAATTATGATTGGATAGCACTTTATGTATATGATAATAGATTTTAAGCCATTCTCAATAATAACTTGAAAAACTATTATTATTATGTTTCGCCTGATATTCCTCCTGCTACTGCTTATCCTTCTTGGGAATATTATGGCTATTTTAGAAGTGGATTAATTTAATTATAGGCTTTGGAAGATTCATTTGTTATTGTAGGCGTGGATCCTTATAATTTTATTTTTAATCTAGTTCATTTAAATAACAAGAATTTAGATTTTATTTAACAAAGAGTAATTAATTATGAAGATTTGAATATTTATAAATATTCAATTTAAAGATCAGGTAGAAATTCTATTTTTGTATAATGGATTGATGGAATGCCAGAAACCCTGCATCCTTAGTATAAGTAAAATTTATACTTATCTGAATTAAACTTATAATTGAATATTGATGATTGTGGTGCTAATTGTGATACTTGTCAAAATGGTTTATGTAAGCAGTGCTTATAAAATTTTTCTTTGGTTGATAATTTTTGCTAGCCATAATGCATTTAAAATTGTTAGAAATGCTCAAATTAAATTGCATGTGAACTTTGCCAAGAGGGATTTATTTTAACAAATATGCTTTAATGTATTGAGAATAATAGTAATAGTATATCAAATGGAGAATTAAGAGTCAGTCTCTCTGAAACAACATTTAAAGAAAATTCTAAATTCACATTATTACCTGATAGAAGAGTTATTATAATCTATTAAGAACAAAACTAAGAGTAGCAATTTTTATAAATAAAAGTCTTGAATGCAATAGGCTAAACAATCTTATAATAAACATTAGATGGTGAAGATGTCTTGAATTTTGATTTATTCTATAAAGAAAATGTTCTACATCTATATTTGTTAAAAAAAATCTCAAACAAAATTGAAATTATCTACTTTTAATTGCAAGTATCAGACTTACAATAAATCAAATAAATTTAATTATCAGGCTAAGAAAATGAAGGTTTATATAGTTTCTCGTAATTAACAACTATTTTTAAAGTGTTAGATACAAACTAATTTTTCACTATTTTTATATAGGGAGGCTTTGAAAATTATTATTATCAAAGAGTTTTATCTTTTACGTATGATTATAATGGTAACCTAAAAAATTCACATTTTTTTGCGGAAATCAATATTGGAAACATTTATTATTATTAAAGAAAGAAAATTTTTGATGCAGTCGTCGATGGAATTGGAAACATTAACGTATTATTAACAAGAGAATGTGATGCAGTATTATATATACTAGATCAATTTGGAGGGATAATTAATTAAAAATTTTAAAGTTATTAAAATTATTGGAGTTGTAGATATTTATAAAATCCATCTCTTTCGGTTGTTCCAAAAACAAATGAATTAATGATAGCTGTTTAAGATTTGAACAACTAGCTGTTTGTTTTTATATGGCAGGAAGATGTCTTATATTTCTCTTAATTTAATTAAAAGCAAAGCAATCCTGAATTAAAAGCTTTAAATTCAAATAGTTTTGTATTAATTTATGAACAATACTATTTAGATGGTAATTTTAAAACATTAAACTATTTACATTAAGAGAATGGAATCATTAAAAATAAATTAATATTAAATTAGAATTCCATTCAACCTGGATTCGTTGAAATAGAAAGTTTTGATTAAAAATATTTATTCTTCACTATGATAGCTTTTAAAAATAGTGGAAATTTATCTACTAATTAAATATATCTTCAATAGATATCTATAGAAGAAGATTAATTACTTGGACTAATCAATATGTGTGAAGAAAACTGTTCATTATGTGATGATAACTTAAAGTGTTCTTAATGTAAGGCTAATTATGTTTTAGATACTCAAAATAAGTGTTCATTGGTTTGTTTAGCTAATTGTTTTAAATGTGAGAAAGTAGATCAATGTGAGATTTGTAATGAAGGATATTAATTAAATAATGATAGAGAATGCAATTAAGCATAGTTAAATTCTTATGTTAAATTATAAGACCACTTAAATAGAATTGAATCAAATTCATAAATTGCTATAGCTAAAAATGGAAATATAATAGTAGCTTGGATGGAACACAACGTTGTTGACAATACGTACTATTCATTTTTTAAAGTATTTAATCCTCATGGGGAATAAATAAAAAATGAGTTCATTGAATATGATAATTCAATGTTACCCAAAGTTAAGGCATTTGGAGAATATTTCCTTTTTTCTTTTTTTAGATATAGAGAAATCTTTTTTAGAATTATAGATACAGAGGGTAATTTCAGAAGTGATTGGAGAATCCTTTATAATAATATTGATTATCTGAATTACGATGAGATGAATCAATTTTAATATGACATAGCAACATATGTTTAAAGCCACATTATTCTTGCAGTTCAGAAGAAATTTTCCGATAATCATTTTGGGATTTAATTAATAAGATTTTCTTTTATTTAGTTCTACTACGAAATACGGTAAGAGACAATGAGAGATTATGATACAAATAGCCAAAGAATTAAAAACCTAGAAATATAAATTGATGCAAATTTTATTTATTATCAATTTTAAAGCTTTTAAATGGATTCTTTAGGGTTTAATTAAGCAACAACTAATTTAGCTTAAGTAAATTATAATCTTGACGACTATTATTATAATCAAGATATTGGTTTGGAAAGTTTCTATAAAATCTTAACGTCTCAAACTAAAATTTAATTTATAAAATATGAGAGAGATTTTGAAATAAAATATTTTTAGTACAATTCTTAAATTTAAAGTTAATATATATCAACTGGAATGGTAATTGATAGTATAAAGGCTGCTTTATATTAAGATTAAATTGTAGTATTATGGATTGGATATGAAACGGATTAAAGAAAAATGTTTATTTAATCATTTTCAATAAATGGAACAATATCATCAACATAAGTTTAATTGCCTGTTTTTAGTAACTATCCAAGCAATCCTTAAATAGGATGTTTAGAAAATGGAGATACAATAATTACATGGTAAGAATAAGAGGCTTCAGAATATACAATATTTGCAGTCAAATTTAATAAACATTTGTAACTAATACCACTCACTTCAGTGACATGTATGTAAAATTGTGAAACCTGTATGACAACAACTTCTTGTTCAAGATGCTCTAATAGTTATTATTTTGATGGAATTAAATGTAAATTATAGTGTGATTCATATTGTTAACAATGTACTGTTAGAAATGTTTGTGATATCTGTTAACCTGGTTATTATTTATAAGATAATTATTGTTAATTTGATTAAATAATGGTAGAAGAATAGCGTATAACAAAAATAGAAGATTATTAATTGACTAGAACTTCAATAAGTAGTTTTCCCGATAGTAGTTTTGTAGTTGTCTGGAATGATAAATTGAATTCTATCTAAACATTATATTTTTAGTTTTATGACAACAATAGATAAAAATAAGGAGAAGTTAGGCCTATAGTTTGGTAAAATGATAGATAATATGCATAAGTTGTTACTTTAGCTAATGATAAATTTGCAATAGTTTGGTTTGAGGGAGATTGTAATATCTAATGTAGATTAGTTCTTCAAATTTATAATAAGGAATTAAT